ACATGACGCTACATGAGACTACACTCCAGCTGGCGCTGGACACACCATAAAAAAATCATAAGCGAACTCCACAAGCCAACGTAGCCAGGAGGGGGTTTCTCTAAGTCCCCTAGACTCTGAGGAGATGGAACAGTCCTTAGAACCATGGAGCCCGTGATTCCCAAATGGCCCCTGTTCTCCCCCGAATGGAAGAGTCTGCCCCCCTCCTGGATGATGGGCTTGCTCTCTTTTTTTTTTTTTTTGAGACGGAGTCTCTCTCTGTCGCCCAGGCTGGAGTGCAGTGGCCGGATCTCAGCTCACTGCAAGCTCCGCCTCCCAGGTTTACGCCATTCTCCTGCCTCAGCCTCACGGAGTGGCTGGGACTACAGGCGCCCGCCACCTCGCCCGGCTAGTTTTTTGTGTTTTTTTTTTAGTAGAGACGGGGTTTCACCGTGTTAGCCAGGATGGTCTCGATCTCCTGACCTCGTGATCTGCCCGTCTCGGCCTCCCAAAGTGCTGGGATTACAGGCTTGAGCCACTGCGCCCGGCCGATGGGCTCTCTCTCATTGGTGGTTCCCAACCCCGGTGGCTCACACAGGTCATGAGGCACTTTTTAAAAAAATGTGAAAGTCTAATAGTTGGCAAAGGATGCATTCAGAATAACGTGAACGAATCTCAAGGGCAAGAAAACCACCCAGTCTGAAAATGGCTGGAAGACTTTGCTGCAGACCAAATGTTTGTACGCCTTGCAAATTCTTATGTTGAAATCCTAACCCTGAAGATAATGAGATTACATGGGGTCTTTGGGAGGCGATTAGGTCATGAAGGGGGAGCCCTCATGAATGGGATTAGTGCCCTTCTAAGAAAGACCCCAAAGAAATCCCCTCACCCCTTCTGCCATGTGAGGACACAGCAGGAAGGCACCATCTGTGAACCAGCAAGAGGCCCGCACCAAACACTGAGTCGGCCTTGATCTCAAACTCTCCAGCCTACAGAACTGTGAGAAATACATTCCCTTTGTTTTCAGCCAGCAGCCTACGGTACCCTGTTTCAGCAGCCCAAACAGACTAAGACGTCACATGACCCAGCAACCGCACTCCTGGGCTTACCCTAGATAAATGAAAATGTGTGTTCACACAGAAACGTATTCAGAGACGTGAACCAGTTCTATTAAAACAAACAAACAAACTGGAATCAACCCAAATGTCCTTCAACAGGAGAATGGAGACATTCAGTTAAAAAATTACTGAATCTGAGGCCCCACTCACCTCACAACCACAACTTCAAATCTGAAAGTAAAATCCTGGCAACCGTATATTTTTTTGAGACAGAGTCTCACTCTGTCTCTTAGACTGGAGTGCAGTGGTGCAACCTTGGCTCACTGCAATCTCCAGCTCCTGGGTTGGAGCGATTCTCCGGCCTCAGCCTCGTGAGTATCTGGGATTACAGGCATGTGCCACCACGCCCAGATAATTTTCATATTTTTAGTAGAGACGCAGTTTCGCTATGTTGGCCACACTAGTCTTGAACTCCTGACCTCAGGTGATCCCCCCACCTTGGCCTCCCAAAGTGCTGGGATGACAGGCATGAGCCACTGTGGCCGGCCGACAGTATTTTTTAAAAGCTACCAGGTGAGTTCTACCACATTCTACCAGCACAGGAGCCTCTCCTCAGCTGTCCTCTCTTTCTCATCGTGCAACGCCTCGGTGAAAACTCTTGAGGACAGGCGGGGACCCACAGACCAGATGCCAAGAAACCCCAATCCACAGCAGTGCCCCCAGATGTCAGCTATCTCTACACCACCGTCAGCTGCAATGGCTATTGCCTGGGCTCTTATTGCTCTTCTTTACTTTTACCTAAAACTAAAATAACACTGACTTAAGACCACGTTGTATCATTGCCGGAAATGGAAAGCCAGTATCCTGTGCCAGGGAGAGAGGTCATGGGCAATTCACTCACTCACAGCAGTGTTATTCCAGTCCACGTGGACACTGATAGAAGAAGGCTCTGAGCCTGAGATCTGCTCTCATTAAAACGAGAGTAACAAATACAAGAGAGATGCTAAAGACATCCCAGGGCCACAGTGAGAGGTTTGCCTCGGAGCAAGCGGAGAGAGCGCACGAGAGTGCTGATGGCCCTGGAGCCCAGCGATTGCCGAACTTTTAGATTCACTGAACCAATAGAACTCTCACTGCATCCCTGAATGGAAGATTTTTTTTTTTTAATTTTGCAAGATATATACATTAAAAGCAACAATAACCACCACCTACTTTTACCATCTTTTCCTAAAAGAACATTTTAATGCCAACGAAACAGATGGCATGAGCACAGAGTAATAACAGTGGCTGACATCTACCTAGACAGCACCCATGTGCCACGTCCTGTTCTGAGGAGTCATGGAAACTGGATAGGGCGCAACCCCGAGGCTAACGGATTCCATGTTAGTTCTATTCCACTCCCACTTCACCTTGCATTTACCTCACCTCTATGGCAGACAGAAGAATGGCCCCAAAGACGTACATGGTCTGATCCCCAGAACCTGTCACCCGATGTCTCAGGGCAACAGGGACTCTGCAGACGGGAGGGAGTTAAGCACTGACATGGGGAAACTCTCCTGAACTATCCTGATGGGCCCACTGTCATCACAGGCATCCTAAGACATGACCACAGTACACCATGGAATACTATGCAGCCATGAAAAGGAATGAGTTCATGTCCTTTGCAGGGACATGGATGAAATAGAAGCCGTCATCCTCAGCAAACTAACACAGGAACAGAAAACCAAACACCACATGCTCTCATTCAGAAGTGGGAGCTAAACAATGAGAACACATGGCCACAGGGAGGGGAACATCACACACCAGGGCCTGTTGGGGGATGGGGGAAGGGGAGAGACAGTATTAAGACAAACACCTAAGGCATGTGGGGCTTAAAACCTAGATGACTGGTTGGTACGTGCAGCAAACCTTCATGGCACATGTAACAAACCTGCATGTTCAGCACATGTATCCCAGAACTTAAAGTAAAATAAATAAATAAATAAAAGAAGTGACCATGGGACCTAAGGGGGTCAAGGTCAGAGGAGTGATGGCGGATGGAAGCAGAGGTCGGAGTGCAGCACTCTGAGGATGGAGGAAGGGCCATGAGCCAAGGAATGCGGGCAGCCTCCAGGTGCTGGAAAAGGCCCAAAACGGATTCTCTCCTAGAGCCTTGAGAAGAGACGTGGCTCTGCAGACAACACCTTAATTTTGCAGCCTTGAGAAGGGACGTGGTTCTGCAGACACCTCGATTTTGGGCCATGAGACCAAACCATTTTGGGCTTCTGACCTCCAGAACCGTAACAGACTTGTGTGATTTGTAAGCTGCTGGGTCTGCGATTTGTTACAACCTACTTTCGGGAACAATGACCCAGAAGGAGGGTGAGGATAGAGAAGCCAGAGCCGGCACAGAGGTGCCAGGAGGTGGGAGCAGAGGAGGGGTGAGCTGTATCCCAGACAATAAGAGGGGGGAGTGTTTGGGGGCTGGTCAGGCTGCTTGAGAAGGGAGATGGACGAGGCCACTGGCAGCCTTGACAGGAGCTGCTCCCTCTGGAAGAAAGGAAGGACGCCCGGCTGCCGTGGACTGAAGGCTTTGCTTGCTTTGCCTCACTGAGATGCCACCTCTCTGCTGCTACATCCCAGCACCCAGCAGGCACTCGGCACACACTTACGAGGAACACCCGGCCGCTCTGACTCTTCACCCTCCTGCCACTGGGGACTCAGGCCTCGCGCAAACACCCCCTCACTCAGGGCCGTTGCACTGGCTGCTCCCGCGGCCTGGACCACTCTTCTCAGAGGCCTCTGCGTGGCTGCCTGCCGCTCATCACCAAGGCCCCACACAGCAGCCACCAGCCAAGGGAGAGTGCCACTACTGAAATGACGGTATTTGGAATACATTGGGGTCCATGAAGTAAATTCACCTTTTTTAAATGTGGTGACTAGAACACTTAAGATGGCGTCTGCGGCTCACATAACACATCCCCCCAGGGACAGGACTCTAAGCCAGGCTGGCAGCTTCCCCAACGGGGCCAGGCAGTCAACGTTTCCAGCTCCTTGGGCCCTCTGTGGTCCTCACGGTGGCCAGCGTCAGCCCCAGGTGACGTGAGCGGATGGGTGTGGCTGTGCACCTCACGGTGGCCAGCATCAGCCCCAGATGACGTCAGTTGATGGGTGTGGCTGTGTACCTCACGGCGGCAAGAGTCAGCCACAGGTGACGTGAGTGGATGGGTGTGGCTGTGCACCTCACGGTGGCCAGCGTCAGCCCCAGGTGACGTGAGTGGATGGGTGTGGCTGTGCACCAAGCCTTCACCCAGAACGTGAGTCGGCCCTTGCCTGCTGTGCGGTCAAGCAACCAAACCTGCCCAGAGAGAGGCCTGGCTTTGCCCTCCACCCTGGGAAGTCATCTCTGAGCCCTTGGAACGTCCGGCATGAGGAAGGTCTGCCTGCCCGGGGGCCTCAGGCCAGCCCAACAGCAAGATGGATTTGAGGGGGAGTTTGGGCCGGGGTATCCTTGACTTTCGGGGGGCTGGAGGCTGAGGTCAGCCACACAGAGCAGGGAGAAGTCCCCATTGAGAACCCGGGACACCAGGGTTTGAGGAGCGTCCCTGGCTGGCAACGCTCCCTGCGTGCGGGCGGAGTGCGGGGAGAGGGCAGCTGGTAACTGCGCTCCCTGGAGCCTTCCTGGCCCTCTTCCCAGCTGCTTCCAGCGCGTCCTTCTCCGTGATAAGCCGTGACCGTGAACACGGCTGTGAGTCCTTCTAGAGAACTCGCAAGTATGCCAGGGTCCTGGGGCGCTCCTGACTTGCAGCTGGTGTTGGGACGGAGGCGCCCCACGTGGACTGGCCCTCCACGCTGTGCCGCAGCCTCCCCACCGTGAGGCACACTGGTTGTCAGGGGTTCAGCGGTGCTCCTCCGTGGGCTTCCTGGTGGCTTCCCGGCTGCCCTCCCTGCTCCCTTCCCCGCTTGCAGCCCCGCCAGGCTCACCCAGAGCTCCTCCAGCAGGGCCACCGCCTCCTCGCCGCTCTGCGGCTGCCGGCTGCACACCCAGGCCTGCGTGTCGGCGGGCAGCGCGCTCAGGAACTGCTCCAGCACCAGCAGCTCCAGCATCTGCTCCTTGGTGTGCACCTCGGGCCGCAGCCAGTCCCGGCACAGGGCGCGGAGCAGCCCCAGGGCCTCGCGCGGGCCCGGCGCGTCGCCCAGGTGGAAGCGGCGGAAGCGGTGCCACGGGGAGTCCAGCGCCAGGCCCTCGGCCTCCTGCTTCACGGGCACCGCCACCTCCATGGGGCCTCCCGGACCGCAGCGCCTGCAGGGAACAGGCCAGTGAGACCCCCGCCCGCCGAGACCCCTGCCCACGGTGCCCAGACTCACACTGGGACCCACGCTCCTTTTTTTCACTTTTTATTATTTTGAAACGGAGTTTCGCTCTTTCCCCCAGGCTGAAGTGCAGGGGCGGATCTCGGCTCACTGCAACCTCGGCTCCCGGGTTCAGGCAATTTTCCTGCCTCCGCCTCCCAAGTAGCTGGAATTACAGGCACCCGCCAGCACGCCTGGCTAATTTTTGTATTTTTAGTAGAGACGGGGTTTCGCCATGTTGGCCAGGCTGATCTCGAACTCCTGACCTCAAGTGATCCGCCCACCTCGGCCTCCCAAAGTGCTGGGATGACAGGTGTGAGCCATGGCACCCAGCCTGGGACCCGCGCTTCTGAGCCGCCCACGTACCCAGGCTAGGCCCGGCCTCTGTGCCTCGGTTTCCCCTGTAAGATAAAGCACTCACCTGCCCCGCCTGGCCCAGGGGCAAAGAGGTCTCTGTGAGGGGGCGGCGCTCACTCAGGTGGTGCGGAAAGGGCGTGCAGTCCTGGGATCCCAGGGAGCCAAGTCAAGGCTGGGCCCCTCCGTGGGCCCCGGGCCTCTGTGCCTCTGTCCTGCAGCTCCTCCCACAGCCTGTCCTGAGGATTCAACCAGAAAACACAGGAAGAGCTTGCAGCAGGCCTGGCAGTAGTGGGTCACCATCAGCACCACCCTCACTGGACTTGTGGGACAGTGCACCCCATACCCTGGTAGCAGACGCTCTGCAGCCTACTCAGAAGCCACCCGAGCTAACTGCTGTGGCCGGAATTTGTCCCCCAAAATTCTTTTCTCCCGTAATACTCCAGAGGTGTTCTGGGGCGGGCTGGCGCCTGAGCCCCATGGGGTCGTCAGGGTCCCTTGGAAGCTCTCACCTCAGTGTGACCCTATTTGGAGATGGAGCTTTTAGCTGGTAATGAAGGTTAACTGAGGTCACAAGGGCTGGGCCTTATAGGACTGTGGCCTTGTACGAGGAAGGAACACTGGGACTCTGTCCATCTCTGCCAACAGGAGCACACAGCAAGGAGGCCGCCTGCAGCCTGGCAGAGGCCCTCACCAGGAACTGACCATGATGGCATTCTGAGCTTCCCGCCCCCAGAACTGAGAAATAAGCTCGTGTTTAAGCAGTTCAGTCCATGGAGCTCCTCTATGACAGCCTGTCCCAGTCCCTTCTGCTGCGAATTTGCGATCTGGGTGTCAGTACTGACACTGACGGGTTCTGGTGAGCATCTCTTCCAGGCTGCGGACGGCCTCCTTTGGTGTCCTCCCGTGGAGGAGAACAGAGAAAGGCAGTGAGCTCTCCTGTCTCTATTTTTTTTTTAATTTTTGTTTTGAGACGGAGTCTCACTCTGTTGCCCAGGCTGGAGTGCAGTGGTGCGATCTCGGCTCACTGCAATCCGCCTCCCGGGGTCAAGTGATTCTCCTGCCTCAGCCTCCCGAGTAGCTGGGATTATAGACGCACGTTACCACGCCCGGATAATTTTTGTATTTTTAGTAGAAACGGGGTTTCGCCAGGTTGGCCAGGCTGGTCTCAAACTCCTGACCTCAAGTGATCCACCTGCCTCGGCCTCCAAAAGTGCTGGGATTACAGGCATGAGCCACCGCGCCCAGCCGTGATTGCCATTTTTAAATGCATTAGTAAATACTTTAAAATTTTCTATTTCAGTTTCTACTGTGATACGTAACAACAGATATGACTCCCATCAATAAAAGCATGTTAGGGTCTTCAGTAATTTTGAAGGTAGAAAGGAATCCTGACTTCAAAACATTTGAGAAACAGTGGTCTCCGAGCTGGTGGGCCAAATCTGGCCTGCAGCCTGTTTCACTTAAGTCTCAGTGGCACACATCCGTGCCCACTTGCTCATGCACTGTCCACGGCCACCTTGGAGCTACTGAGTGGCTGTGACAGGGCCTGGGGAGCCTGCAAGGCTGTCCACAGAGCCCAAGATAGTTATTCGCTGGCTCTTTACAGGAAAAGATTGCGGGCCCCTGACCTCAAGGACACTGGAAGATCAGGACAGAAGGGACCCTGATGACCCCATGGGGCTCAGGCGCCAGCCCGCCCCAGAACACCTCTGGAGTATTACGGGAGAAAAGAATCAGTTCTATCCTATCTGGGGCCCTGTACTTGGGGTCTCTTCATTACGGCAGCTTGACCTGTATCATGAGGAACTACAGCAAAGTCCCCTTGACCACAAGGAAGCAGGTGGGCACGTCATCTGCTTCTAGCCAGTGGGGTCTGAGAGGAAGTCTGGGTTCAGACCATTTTCCTCCTGATACAACCAAAGCCTGGGCTCCTGACCGCCATGTCACTAACCACAAACGTCATGTCATTGCTGGGACGCCTGCCACAAGACCCCAGTGTCTGCCTGCTCTTGCCACCTAGAGTCGAATCACTCCACAGTGATCACAAAAACTTTTTCACTGTAAATCCCTGTCACTTCCTTGCTCAACACCCTCCAACTTCTTCCTGTGATGCTCAAAACCCAAATTCCTTACCATGGCCATGAGACCATGCAGCCTGGCCCTACTTTCTCATCTCTGCCCACTCCTGGATTCTCTGTCCTTCAGTCACAATGGCTCCCCTTTTCTTTTTTTTTTTTTTAAGACAGGGTCTCTCTCTGTCACCCAGGCTGGAGTGTGGTGGTGTGACTTCTCAGCTCATTGCAGCCCTGACCTCCCGGGCTCAAGCCATCCTCCTGGCTCAGCCTCCCGAGTAGCTGGGACCACAGGCAGGCACCAACACACCCAGCTAATTTTTATATTTTTTGTAGAGACAGGGTCTCACTATATTGCCCAGGCTGGTCTCAAACTCCTGGATTCAAGTGATCCTCCCAACTCGGCCTCTCAAAGTGCTGGGATTACAGGAGTGAGCCACTGTGCCCAGTCTGGCTCACTTTCTATCTTCTCAGTCTGAAGGCCAGTGCCCACCACAGGGCCTCTGCACCTGCTGCTGCTTCCCCCTGGATCACTCCTTTCCCCCTTATCTTTGCTTACCTGACTCCTCATGACGGAGGCCTCAATGCAATTATTCCCCCCTTGGAGAGCCTCCCCAGATCACCCCCTCCAATGCTGCACCCACATTCCCTTCCCCCAATTGCTAACATGTCACCCTTATTAGTCTTCTTTTAGCATTTAACAAGATCTAGTGTTACGATACCTGTGTGCTGACTTTCTTCACTACAATTCAAGCTCCATGCGGGCAAAAGACTACGCATTTCAACCCCAGCATTCTGGCTAGCACTCAAACTTTACAGGCTGATCAATCCCATGAGGTTGGTGTTACTACCCCCAAGTTGCAGATGGAGCAAGGGGAGATGTCTTATCCAAAGTCACTCAGCTAACATGTGGCAGAGCCTGGACTCACACATCCACATCTGTCTGGCTCCACAGACAGGGCACAGCATCACCTCCCACCCCATCCATCAGTTTAAGACTGATGAACCCGGGAGCAGGCAGAAAGGCTTATCGGAAGACCCAGGCCATATGCAAGTCTCAAAAGCCACACAGAGGCCTGCTCTGCCATAAAAAAGATCCCTTCTGGGACTAAGGAGGAATTTCTGCCAGAGAGCAAGGCCACAGGCCATCAGGCTGACCCTGTTTGCAATCTCAGAGGTGATCACAGGTCACTATGCCCTGGGTTGTCCAGAAAGTGAGCTCTTTGGGGCAGTGACCAAGTCCAACTCTTCTCTGGGTTCCTGGGGCCACCCAGCGGAGGGCCTGCACCCAAGAAAGCACATGCTATTAAGTAAGGGCATCCCACCATGTAAATCCACCCTACCATCCAATAAGCGCCCTGTGCTATGTGCATTCAACAGCTGTAACCCTGCTGCCTAGCTGTCTGTGTCCACAAAGCACAGTCCAGCCCTGAGCCAGGCACCCTGGATGCCTCGAAGACAGCCACTGAGTGGCTAATGTCTTATCCTGCCCCACCCAACCTTCCCAACAGACCTGTGAGCTGGGGAGAGGGGTCCCCTTATACCATAGGGAGATGCTCGGAGAGTGAAGAAGCCACAAATGGGACCCAGATGTTACTCCAGAGTCCACACCAGTTCCACCCAGTACCCCGGCGCCAGCACCCACGCATGCTGGGCTAGTATCATGGCTAAGAGGCTGTGGAGTTTGGCTGCCTGGCCTCAACTTCCAGCTCTGCCACTCATCAGCAGTGTGACTGTGGACGTGTGACTTGCCCTCTCTGTGCTTCATTTCTCCACCTGTGACACAGGGCTAACAATAGCTCCCTCCTCTCAAGAGGCTGCTGGGAGCAGGAGTTAGAAGCAGCCTGCAAAGAGTAGGTGCTCGACAAAGACCGGTTTGTCTACTCCAGAGTTTCCCAACCTCGACATTAATGGCACTTGTGTTGTGGGAGGCTATCCTGTGCAACACACAATGTCTACCAGCATCTCTGCCTCTTTTCATGAGATGCCAGCAGCACTTCCAAGGTTGGAAAAACAAATAAAAGTCTCCAGACATTGCCACATGTCCCCTGGGGGACAAAACCACTCCTGGTTGAGAGCCGCTAGCCCACTGGACAAATATTTACCTACAGCACAAAGGCTCTGGGGCAAATTCCAGCTCTGCCTCCTACCAGTTCTGTGTCCTTGGACAAGGTACAAGGCACCTTTTGTAATACACTGTATCTCCATTTCGCTGACTGTAAAGTGATGGAAAACAAAAATGCTGAGAACCACACCTGGCTAGTATGTGTCCAGTCAGACTTAGGGTTACTTTGTCGAAGGTTTCCTGCAAGGTGCCCAGGGGACACTGCTGTGAACACGCACACAGATTAAAATACTAAGTATACATTGGAATAAGCATTAAGATGGATATAGACAAGGGTGACTCATCCTGACTGGGGTAGAGGTGGCGGGGATCAACTTCAGATGACAATAAACAGTTTCTAAGCACTTTACACATATTACCGAAGGTAATAATGCCTTGCAACAAGCTAAAAAGGCAGATGCTCCTCAACGAGTTATCTTCAGGAATCTCACAACTCTGTAAAAGTTGCACTTGTAGAAGCAGCGCACAAAAAGAGCCACCTGCACCGTATCTACGTTACGACAATAACCATCGTCCCCGGAAGCCCCTGCCCGCAAACCTTTCCGAAGGGGTTCGGTCCCGGCGCCCCCAGACTCCTTTGTAGGGTCCAGCTTCCCACTCAGCTTTCATCTCACAGCCCACCCCTGCTTGGGTCCCCTTCCCTTCCCCCACCTGTCCCTCTCCCTTCCCTCCCCCATCTGTCCCTCTCCCGTCCCGCCCCTCCCCCGTCCTCTCCCTCAGTTTCTCTCTCCCGCGTTCAGGACCTCGAGGATCCACGACCCCCCTCCCACTATCCACCCCTCCCCCTCTCCAAGTCCCTCCCCCTCTAGTTCTCGCTCCCAGCCCCTCCCCCATCACTCAGCCCCCTTCTCCTCCCCTCCCCGCAAGTCTCCCATCTCTCCCATCTCTCCCTCCTGAGGGCCCCGGCGCCCTTCTTCCCGTCCAACCGCTGGTCCCTCCCTCGTCCAACCGCCCCCCTCCGATCCCTCCCTCCTTCCCCCCTAGCTCACCTCACTCTCTCAGGCGATGCCCCCGAAGCCCCATCACCTCCCCGCACATGCGCACAAAGCTCACTGGGACTCCATGCCCCAGCAGGCTTTGCGCCAAACACCCCCCAACCCCCGTCCCCCTCCCCCAATCCCATACTCCGAGTCGCTCGTTCCGCCCAACAACTCCCCATGCGGCCCCGGCCTCAAGCCGAACTACAACTCCCAGGAAGCATCGCGGCAAAGGCCGCTGCCCATTGGCCCTCGCCGTGGGGACCCGCTCACCCTTGTTTGTCACCGCCTGGCGTCTTCCCCAACACTGGAACTACATTTCCCAAGATGCACGAAAGCGTCGTCTGCGGCCTATTGGGCCTTGACGGCTCAAGTGTCGCGGGCTCTCTGAGTGAGTCAGGCTTTGGAATACATTTCCCAGAATGCACGAGGAGGCTTCCCAGTAGTCTGCGCGCGGGCCCTGGGCATGCGCAGACGTGTCGAGAAAAAAAAGAGGGAGGAGTAGGAGGAGCCATGGCGGCGCTGTTGTGGAGATTAGGGGAGGTCGGGCACCGCCGGGCATTTGGGAGGTGGGGCCTCCAGAGCTCTAGAAGCTGGCAAGCGAAGAGGAGGAGGAGACCAGGCTAGAGTTCTGCGCCAATCAGGAGTGCAGGCTACGTCTCCTTGACTACGGATCGCTTTTTTGTGTGTGTGTGTCCTCACTCTCCACCCGGGCAGAACTTAAGAGCCGATGTCGGTGCCAGGAATCAGGACGTGAGCGGGCTGCCCTCCTGTTCCGGGGTGGGCGGTGGTTCAGGAGGGGGCCAGCGCGGGGGCCTCGGTTTGGCTCTTCCTGTGTGAACCTGGACAGGACACCGCCCTCTCTTTAGCCTCAGTTTTTCCTGGTGTGAACTGGGGGACAGCGCTACGTGCCGCGCGTCCTCGATCTGCCCCATTGGACAGACTATTTCCCCGTCCTGAGGCCTCAGTTTCTGCATCTCAGGACTGCGAAGAAGACAGACATCCTAAGAGATCAGCTGACGCCCTTTATCTAGACAGTTCCAGACCTGATTATGGCTCATACAAGCCCTACCTCAGCCCGCGGCGTATTTCCTCCTCTGTACAACAAGGATAAGAGAATCCCCTCCCCTCCCCCACCTCCCCGGCTGATCCGAAGACTCTGCGCCATAAAAAGGAAGACAGTGGCTTACCCATAACAAGCATTCATTACATGGAGGTTGTTCCTCTTACCATATTCATAAATGAACAACTTGCCCCAGGTTTCACATGCGATGAGTGGTTGACTCAGAACCTTGTGACCAGTTTGCCCACGGTGGCCTAACCTGCCCTGGCCCACCTATCTACCCTCTGTCTTCTCGTGTTTAATGAGTTCCAGTCATGCCTCCTTTCTGCTCCTAGAACACGGTGATCTTCTTCCCACTCACATCCGATGGCCTACTTGACATCTCCACTTGGATTTCTTAATAGGCATCTCAAACCTAAGGTGGACAGTAGAGAATTTTTCTCCCCTACCTTGTGAAGAAACTTATTCCTTCCCATTACTCTATCATCTTAGATAGCAAGTCCATCATTCACCCAAATGTTCAGGCCAAAAATAGAAAAGCAGCCCTTGATTCTTTTTTTGTTTGTTTTGTTTTGTTTTTTGATATGGGGTCTGGCTCTGTCGCCCAGGCTGGAGTGCAGTGATGCGATCACAGCTCACTGCAACCTCCGATTCCCAGTCTCAAACGATTCTCGTGCCGCATCCTCCTGAGCAGCCAGGACTACGGCCGTGCACCACCATGCCCAGCTAATTTTTGTATTTTTAATAGAGATGGGATTTGCCGTGTTGGCTGGTCTCAAACTCCTGGCCTCAAGTGATCTGCCTCCTCAGCCTCCCAAAGTGCTGTGATTGCAAGCGTGAACCACCATGCCCAGCCAATTCCTCTTTTTCATCACCCGCCGCATGCAATCTGTCATCAGGTCCTATTGGTTCTGTCTTCAGAATAGAGTCAGAAGCTGTCCACAGCTCTCCCGTCTACAGCTACCACCTGGTCTAAGTCCCCATAGCTTCTTTAGACATTGTCATGCCTCCACTCTGGCCTCTTCTGCTTCCTGCGCCCCCAGTTCCTACTCCACACAGCAACCAGAGGGATCTTTCTTTTTATTGTGGTAAAATATATATAAGATAAAAATTACCGTCTTAATCATTTTTAAGGTACAGTTCAGTAGCATTAAGTACGTTCAAGCGAGGCCGGGCGCGGTGGCTCACGCCTGTAATTCCAGCACTTTGGGAGGCCGAGGCGGGCAGATCACAAAGTCAGGAGTTCAAGACCAGCCTGGTCAACAAGGTGAAACCCTGTCTCTACTAAAAATATAAAAATTAGCTGGGCGTGGTGGCGGGCGCGTGTAATCCCAGCTACTCGGGAGGGTGAAGCCAGAGAATCACTTGAACCTAGGAGGCAGAGGTTGGGGTACAGGGAGCTAAGACTGTACCACTGCACTCCAGTCTGGGCAGCAGAGTCAGACTCTGTCTGTCGCCCAGGCTGGAGTACAGTGGCTCAGTCTCGGCTCACTGTGACTTCCCCTCCCAGGCTCAAGGTATTCTCTGCAGGTGCACACAACCACACCCAGCTACTTTTTTTTCTTTCTTTCTTTTTTTTTTTGTAGAGATGGGGTTTCGCCATGTTACCCAGGCTGGGCTTAAACTCCCGGGCTCCAGTGATCCACCTGCCTCGGCCTCCCAAAGTGTTGGGATTACAGATGTGAGCCACCATACCCGGCCCAGGTTCTGTGATTTTGACTACATTAATACTTCATGTAAGTGGAATCATACAGTATTTGTCTCTTGTGACTGTCTTGTTTAACTTGGCAAAATGTCCTCAAGGTTCATCCATGTTGTAGCATGTGTCAAAATCTCCTTCCTTTTAAAGATTGCCTAATATTCTGTTGCATACACGGACCATATTTTGTTGACCCGTTCATCAGAGGGATTTTTTTTTTTTTTTTTTTTTAGTCTTGCTTTGTCACTGCAATGGCATGCATGATCTTGGCTCACTGCAACCTCCACCTCCGGGTTCAAGTAAGAAAGGCCATGTTTATCACCTTGATTCATTAACATTATACTACGGATACATCCAAATTTTTTTTTTTTTTTTTTGAGATGGAGTTTTCCCTGTCGTCACCCAGGCTGGAGTGCAATGGTTCCATCTCGGCTCACTACAACCTCCACCTCATGGATTCAAGCGATTCTCTTGCCTCAGCCTCCTGAGCAGCTGGGATTACAGGCGCCTGCCATGTCCAGCTAATTTTTTTGTATTTTTAGTAGAGATGGGGTTTCACCATGTTGGCCAGGCTGGTCTCGAACTCCTGACCTCAGGTGATCCACCTGCCTTGGCCTCCCAAAGTGCTGGAATTACAGGCATGAGTCACCGAACCTGGCCCCAGAGGAATCTTATTTACACTTAAAAAGGGTCATGTCACTTTTGCTTAAAACCCTCCATTGCAAACCCTCGTCGCTGGCCTGCACAGTCCCACATGATCTGCTTTCAGACCCAGAGTTTCTTTAGCTTATAGAGTGCCTTTGTGTGTGTATGAGAAAAGCATGGTCCTCAGAAGCACTGCAGAACTGAGCGGGGCACACAGCTTGGCAGGAAGATCCGGAGGACTATTCCAGCCACCGCTTCCTGGTTGGCCAGGTGCCTGCATGTCACATACAGCGTTCACACAGGCTCTCAATCCAACACCGTTCCCCTCCCCTCTTCATCACTATGCTTCAACTCGTTGGCCACTTTTTTTTTCTCTTTTTTCTTTTTTTTTTTTTGAGACTGAGTCTGTTGCCCAGGCTGGAGTGCAGTGGCTTGATCTTGGCTCACTGCAACCTCCTCCTCCAGCGCTCAACTGATCCTCCTGCCTCAGCCTCCTGAATAGTAGGGACAACAGGCGCCCACTACCACACCCAGTTCATTTGTGTATTTTTAATAGAGAAGGGGTTTTGCCATGTTGGCCAGGCTGGTCTTGAGCTCCTGACCTCAGGTAATCCTCCCGCCTTGGCCTCCCAAAGTGCTGGGACGACAGGCGTGAGCCACCACACCCGGCCTCACCGGTCACTCTTTTAAGTTCCTCTAACGCAGCACTTCTCAAAGTGTAGTCCCCAGACCGGCTGCACAACATCACCTGGGAGCTTGTTAGAAAGGGAGACTCTCGGCCGGGCATAGTGGCTCACGCCTGTAATCCCAGCACTTTGGGAGGCCGAGGCGGGCGGATCACCTGAGGTCGGGAGCTTGAGACCAGCCTGATCAACATGGAGAAACCCCATCTCCACTAAAAATACAAAAAAATTAGCCAGACATGGTGGCACACGCCTATAATCCCAGCTACTCAGGAGGCTGAGGCAGGAGAATCACTTGAACCTGGGAGCCAGAGGTTGTGGTGAGCTGAGATGGCACCATTGCACTCCAGCCTGGGCAACAAGAGTGAAACTCCATCTAAAAAAAGAAATGCAGAGTCTCGGTCTCTGCCTCAGACTGGATCAGAAACTCTAGCAGGGGGCCCAGCGATTTACTTGAACAAGGCCTCCAGGGGATACCTCCTGCCTGCACTCTAGAAAGTCGCGGCTTCCTGCACTTTAGAGTAGTCCCAAGGTGCTTGGGAGGATTCATGAGTTAATACATGCAAAGCACTCAGAAGGCTACCTGGCAGGGAGTAAGAATTCAGTAAACATTCGCTATTCTTACTTAACCTCCAGTGGAGTCACTAATAAAAGCAAGCCCAACTCAAATGCAAAGTTGACTCTTCCCTCCCTCCCCACATCCATGTAACAAAAACAGCTTGTTTCACCACAGGCTATTGTCTGCTCAGCATCTGTTCGCTTCAGACAAACTGGACACCTATGATGAGACAGATGAGATGTTGTATGGGCAAAAATGATACGAGGGTGGACAGAGTACACAGAATCAGTGTCCAGCCAGAGTTTTGGGCCTAGCACAGTGGGTGAAGGCAAGGCTTCAAACCCACCCAACATGCCCCAGCCGAGAGACCCTGGGGATCTCAGCTCATCAGCGTCTTCACTTGAATGGAGGTCATAACTCACTCAGAGAGTTGGGATTGGGGGTGGGGGTGGTGAATAAGGGCCCAAGGGCCCAATAAGGAGCGGGTCCTTTTTTTTAGCTTTTTTTTTTTTTTTTTGAGACAGAATCTCGCTCTGTCACCCAGGCTGGAGTGCAGTGGTGCGATCTTGGCTCACTGCAACCTCTGCCTCCTGGGTTCAAGCAATTCTCCTGCCTCAGCCTCCCAAGTAGCTGGGATTACAGGCACGCGCCACCACGCCCGGCTAATTTTTTTTTTGTATTTTTATCAGAGACAGGATTTCACCATGTTGGCCAGGCTGGCCTCGAACTCCTGATCTCAAGTGATCCGCCCACCTCAGCCTCCCACAGTGCTGGGATTACCAGCGTGAGCCACCGCGCCCGACCAGGAGCAGGTCCTTATTGATATAAGACAATCATGCTGTGCTCCTTCTCCTTGCCAGCCATTGGTTGACACTCAGGTATGTGACACTATTCTGGCCAATGAAACCTGAAGGCAGATTTGCTGGGGCCACTGCTGGGAAAGGTTTTTCCCAACTCTTAAGCAACAGATAAATTGGAAGAAACAGTTTTCCTGGAGCCCTGCCCTGTCTGCAGGTGACACTTCAAGCTGGGGCAGCCACCGGGGTACCATGAGGGCTGGTAGTGGGAGCTGCTCACTTAGGATGGAAGGGAGGGGAGACGGAGGAACCTGGTTCTTCATGGCATGGTTTGGCAGCTGAATTTTAACCAACCCTGACTGGACCTGCCCTATCTCCAGGCTTCTCTTGGTATGAAGTAAAAAGTCCCCTCAAGCCATTCTGAGTCAAGTCTGTTGAAGCCAAAAGTGACAGCAAGTCACATATATCCAGGGCCAGCTTCATGGGATGCAACCTGTGTGGTTGCAGGGTGCCATGCACTTGGTTGAGTGCCCAGCTGTGGCCATCTTCACATTTTTTTTCTTTTTTTTTGAGACGGAGTCTCGCTCTGTCACCCAGGCAGGAGTGCAGGGGCGCGATCGCGGCTCACTGCAAACTCCGCCTCCCGGGTTCACACCATTCTCCTGCCTCAGCCCGAGTAGCTGGGACTACAGGCGCCCGCCACCACGCCCAGCTGATTTTTTTTTATTTTTAGTAGAGACGGGGTTTCACCGTGTTACCCAGGATGGTCTCGATGTCCTGGCCTTGTGATCCTCCTGCCTCAGCCTCCCAAAGTGCTGGGATTACAAGTGTGAGTCACCGTGTCTGGCCTGACATTTTATTTATTTATTTATTTATTTAAGAAATAAGGTCTTACTGGGCGTGGTGGCTCACACCTGTAATCCCAGCACTTTGGGAGGCCGAGGTGGGAGGATCACGAGGTCAGGAGATCGAGACCATCCTGGCTAACACGATGAAATCCCATCTCTACTAAAAATACAAAAAATTAGCCAGGTGTGGTGGCGGGCCCCTGTAGTTCCAGTTACTCGGGAGGCTGAGGCAGGATAATGGCGTGAATCCGGGAGGCAGAGCTTGCAGTGAGCCGAGATCCGGCCATTGCATTCCAGCCTGGGAGACAGAGCGAGACTCCATCACAAAAAAAAAAAAAGGAAAAAAAAAGAAAGAAGGTCTCACCAACTCCTGGCCTCACGAGATCCTCCTGCCTCAGCCTCCTGAGTAGCTGGGATTACAGCTACCACACCCAGCTTGAAATTCTTAATCTATTTTTTTTTTTTTTTAAATACAGGGCTCTGCATTTTAATTTTGCCCTGGGTCCTGTTTACATAAATATCACCTTGATAATCTGTGCAATGTTGGCACACCATCGTTCAGGACAGAGCCTAATGCATGATAAGTGGGCCATAAATATTGGTGAGGAATGAAATGAAGGAACGACTTCCGGGAAATGTCCTTCCTCCACTTCTTCATCTGGTAACATCGTATAATCCTCTGTGATCAGATGTCCCCTCCTCCAGGAAGCCTTCCCAGACCACCCCCACACCTGTAAGCCTGGACCAAGTGCCTCATTGGCGCTTCCGCAGAGCCCCCTCTTTCTCCATTTCATATACTATTTTTGGGTGACTGCTCCGCCCACCTCACACTGAGCGACTCAGCAACAGAGACCAACCCTCCTTGCCTGCTGTACCCAGCTGCTGGCTTGGGGCCTGCCTGTGAACGAGTAAATAAGAGTGAAGGCAAGTGGTTCTTACCCTGCTTCCCAGGCCTGAGGGCGAGAATTCCTCTGACAGCAAATTTAGCTCATACCTTCCAGCTTCTCGACTCCTTTGTAGCTCTGCTATAATTATTGCCCCAAATAATAATTAAGGTTTTTCTCTTTGTGTGGTGCTTTGAAGCAGTAAGATCCCCCAGGGCAGGGATGGGGTTTGGTTCATCTCTGGAGGCTCAGGTTGTGTTTATGGGTGAGTGGATGATGGATGCCTGAGTGAGCATGTGAGGGGGAGAACCAGCGGAAGGGGAGCGGGGATCGCGTACAGATGTCAGTCTGTGTCTGGCAGTGTGGGCTCCCAAGGGGCTGGATCTGAACCTGAGTCATCTTTGGATCCCCAGGCCCCAGGAAACGTTTGAGAAAAGATAATGAAATTAATGAACGAATTGCTTAATGATGGATCACACTGCCCATTATCTGATTTCCCCTCATGCTCAGCTGCCAAGGCAGCAGATCTCATCAGAGAATCACCCCATTTTACAGTTGGGATAATCGAGGCTCAGTGGAGCAGGTGACACAGCAAGAGACCCGGGTTTTAAGGCCAGCGGCAGGTGTCCTGAGCCTCTCTCACAGATGAGGAAGCTGAGGCTCAAGAAGGGCATTCTGGCCGGGCGCGGTGGCTCACGTCTGTCATCCCAGCACTTTGGGAGGCCGAGGTGGGTGGATCACCTGAGGTCAGGAGTTCGAGACCAGTCTGGCCAACATGGTGAGACCGCATCTCCACTAAAAATACAAAAATTAGCCAGGCGTGGTGGCGGGCGCCTGTAATCCCGGCTACTTGGGAGGCTGAGGCAGGAGAATCGCTTGAACCTGGGAGGCAGAGGTTGCAGTGAGCCAAGATCGCACCACTGGACTCCAGCCTGGGCAACAGTGCCAGACTCTATCTCAAAAAAAAAAGAAAAGAAAAAGAAAAAAAAAAAGGGCATTCTGAGGTCCCCGCCCAGCTGAGGCAGCAGGTTTTCCACCGGCCAGATACATCCTCTTCTTTAGACGTTCAGAGAGTGAGCAGGGCCTCCAGGAGGAGGGAGTCAAGCCGACCTTACCCTCACTGCCAAGGCAGAGAAGAATTCCTTGGAAATTCTTTCCAACTGTATCTCGCAGTGTCTGGCCAGAGTGAATGCGGCTTCTCTGAGGTTGATACTGCGGCTTCCGTCTCGCCCCCACTTCCACCCCTTTACTCTCTGGAGAGAAATCTCTCCGGCTGGAGATTGAAGGTGCATCTCCCAGACCTCCGGAGAGCTAGAGTTCCGGGCTGAATTGGGCTTTGCTAATTAAGTGCATCGAGTAAGACGCGGAAAGCCGATCAAGGGCCAAAAGAACCACTGGCAGTCAGTGAGGTTTATTTATCTTGGTTCAGCAAGGGAGGACGCATTCCAGGGGATCACCGTACAAGGAGTCAGAAGAGGCCTTTCAGAGCGTTAGGGCTTGCGCTACAGGGCTCTGCCGGCCATTGCATTCCAGCCTGGGAGACAGAGCGAGACTCCATCACAAAAAAAAAAAAAGGAAAAAAAAAGAAAGAAGGTCTCACCAACTCCTGGCCTCACGAGATCCTCCTGCCTCAGCCTCCTGAGTAGCTGGGATTACAGCTACCACACCCAGCTTGAAATTCTTAATCTATTTTTTTTTTTTTTTAAATACAGGGCTCTGCATTTTAATTTTGCCCTGGGTCCTGTTTACATAAATATCACCTTGATAATCTGTGCAATGTTGGCACACCATCGTTCAGGACAGAGCCTAATGCATGATAAGTGGGCCATAAATATTGGTGAGGAATGAAATGAAGGAACGACTTCCGGGAAATGTCCTTCCTCCACTTCTTCATCTGGTAACATCGTATAATCCTCTGTGATCAGATGTCCCCTCCTCCAGGAAGCCTTCCCAGACCACCCCCACACCTGTAAGCCTGGACCAAGTGCCTCATTGGCGCTTCCGCAGAGCCCCCTCTTTCTCCATTTCATATACTATTTTTGGGTGACTGCTCCGCCCACCTCACACTGAGCGACTCAGCAACAGAGACCAACCCTCCTTGCCTGCTGTACCCAGCTGCTGGCTTGGGGCCTGCCTGTGAACGAGTAAATAAGAGTGAAGGCAAGTGGTTCTTACCCTGCTTCCCAGGCCTGAGGGCGAGAATTCCTCTGACAGCAAATTTAGCTCATACCTTCCAGCTTCTCGACTCCTTTGTAGCTCTGCTATAATTATTGCCCCAAATAATAATTAAGGTTTTTCTCTTTGTGTGGTGCTTTGAAGCAGTAAGATCCCCCAGGGCAGGGATGGGGTTTGGTTCATCTCTGGAGGCTCAGGTTGTGTTTATGGGTGAGTGGATGATGGATGCCTGAGTGAGCATGTGAGGGGGAGAACCAGCGGAAGGGGAGCGGGGATCGCGTACAGATGTCAGTCTGTGTCTGGCAGTGTGGGCTCCCAAGGGGCTGGATCTGAACCTGAGTCATCTTTGGATCCCCAGGCCCCAGGAAACGTTTGAGAAAAGATAATGAAATTAATGAACGAATTGCTTAATGATGGATCACACTGCCCATTATCTGATTTCCCCTCATGCTCAGCTGCCAAGGCAGCAGATCTCATCAGAGAATCACCCCATTTTACAGTTGGGATAATCGAGGCTCAGTGGAGCAGGTGACACAGCAAGAGACCCGGGTTTTAAGGCCAGCGGCAGGTGTCCTGAGCCTCTCTCACAGATGAGGAAGCTGAGGCTCAAGAAGGGCATTCTGGCCGGGCGCGGTGGCTCACGTCTGTCATCCCAGCACTTTGGGAGGCCGAGGTGGGTGGATCACCTGAGGTCAGGAGTTCGAGACCAGTCTGGCCAACATGGTGAGACCGCATCTCCACTAAAAATACAAAAATTAGCCAGGCGTGGTGGCGGGCGCCTGTAATCCCGGCTACTTGGGAGGCTGAGGCAGGAGAATCGCTTGAACCTGGGAGGCAGAGGTTGCAGTGAGCCAAGATCGCACCACTGGACTCCAGCCTGGGCAACAGTGCCAGACTCTATCTCAAAAAAAAAAAGAAAAAGAAAAAAAAAAAGGGCATTCTGAGGTCCCCGCCCAGCTGAGGCAGCAGGTTTTCCACCGGCCAGATACATCCTCTTCTTTAGACGTTCAGAGAGTGAGCAGGGCCTCCAGGAGGAGGGAGTCAAGCCGACCTTACCCTCACTGCCAAGGCAGAGAAGAATTCCTTGGAAATTCTTTCCAACTGTATCTCGCAGTGTCTGGCCAGAGTGAATGCGGCTTCTCTGAGGTTGATACTGCGGCTTCCGTCTCGCCCCCACTTCCACCCCTTTACTCTCTGGAGAGAAATCTCTCCGGCTGGAGATTGAAGGTGCATCTCCCAGACCTCCGGAGAGCTAGAGTTCCGGGCTGAATTGGGCTTTGCTAATTAAGTGCATCGAGTAAGACGCGGAAAGCCGATCAAGGGCCAAAAGAACCACTGGCAGTCAGTGAGGTTTATTTATCTTGGTTCAGCAAGGGAGGACGCATTCCAGGGGATCACCGTACAAGGAGTCAGAAGAGGCCTTTCAGAGCGTTAGGGCTTGCGCTACAGGGCTCTCCCGGGGGTTGGGGGAAGTGGGGAGCAGTTCTAATGAAGGCTTAAGAAGCAGGGCAATGCACTGATTGGATTCCTCCATAATTTTTTTTTCCTTTTTTTTGGAGACAGTCTCGCTCTGTCGCCCAGGCTGGAGTGCAGTGATGCGATCTTGGCTCACTGCAACCTCCGCCTCCCAGGTACAAGGGATTCTCATGCCTCAGCCCCCCGAGTAGCTGGAATTATAGACGCAGGCCACCATGCCCAGCTAATTTTTGTATGTTTAGTAGAGACAGGGTTTCGCAACGTTGGCCAAGCTGGTCTCGAACTCCTGGCCCCATGTGATCCACCCGCCTCGGCCTCCCATAAGGGCTGGGATTACAGGTGTGAGTCACTGCACCCGGCTTCAAAATTTTTTTTCTAAGTACAGAGATAGGGTCTTGTTATGTTGCCCAGGCTGATCTTGAACTCCCTGCCTCAAGGGATCCTCCCGCTTCAGCCTCCCACGTGTCTGGGATTACAGGTTTGAGCCACCATGCCCAGCTCTTCTCTTTAATTTTTGCCCTGAAGGCAGGAAGATAGCGCAGGGTTGCGTTTTCAAGGGTAAGGAAGCGGCAGTAAAGAATGGGATGTTGTCAGAGGAAGGAAGGTGTTGAATTTTTGCTGTTGTGGTGTGACTCTTTGTACAGAATACAATTTTTTTTTTTTTTTTGAGACTAAGTCTCGTTTTGTCGCCGAGGCTGGAGTGCAGTGGCACAATCTCGGCTCACCGCAACCTCCACCTCCTAGGTTCAAGCAATTCTCTGTGTCAACCTCCTGAGTAGCTGGGATGACAGGTGCTCGCCACCATGCCCAGCTAATTTTTTTGTATTTTTTTAGTAGAGATGGGGCTTCACCATCTTGGCCAGGCTGGTCTTGAATGGCTGATCTCATGATCCATCCACCTCGGCCTCCCAAAGTGCTGGGATTACAGGCATGAGCCACCACACCTGGCTCGGCCGGTATTTTCTTAAAATGGTTTTTTTGTTGTTTCATTTGTCGAGAATCCCAAACAAACATGAAAATAACTGTCTTGCATAAATATAAAATATGGACTGCTGTATTAAGTGGTCTTTTCCCAGTGCCAGTTACTCTCGGACATTGAGGACCTCTTGTGCTATTTCTGGCCATTCCACAGAGGTTTGGAGGGGCCCAAAGCCTCTCTCTCTCTCTCCTTACCACACTGCACAACCTTCAGGAGACAAGGCTGAGAATTATGGCCCAGGCTGTCTGACCTTCACAGACTGGTGCCACTTCTCCAAGCAGCCCCTTTGGGTAGGCAGGGGTCTGTAAGATCTAACCAGCAACCTCGGCCGGGCGTGGTGGCTCATGCCTGTAATCCCAACACTTTGGGAGGCTGAGGCGGGTGGATCACGAGGTGAGGAGATTGAGACCATCCTGGCTAACACAGTGAAACCCCGTCTCTACTAAAAAATACAAAAAGTTAGCCGGGTGTGGTGGCGGGCGCCTGTAGTCCCAGCTACTCGGGAGGCTGAGGCAGGAGAATGGCGTGAACCTGGGAAGCAGAGGTTGCAGTGAGCCGAGATCATGCCACTGCACTCTAGCCTGGGGGACAGAGTGAGACTCCATCTCAAAAAATGAAATGAAATGAAATGAAATAAAATAAAATAAAATACATAACCAGCAACCTCAGACATTTTACTGTGTGCAATAATGTCAGGAAAAACTGCTCCGGATAAATAAACTCCTGCAGCAACAAGAAGAAAACAGGTGGAAGCGTTCCTCAAAACCGCTTGGAATTTACACTGAACTTTTATAGCACTGGGAACAATCCACCACCTGGAGAGAAAGTTTAACAGGTTTTACGATTTATTTAAGAGCTCTCGTTAATTTTTTCATGTTGTCATTACCACAGAAGGATTCGCTTGAAATGAACTGAAGCCTGAAGGGTCATACTATATTTTTCTTATTAAATGAAAATAAGCTTTATAGTTAAGGAGGTCTTTGGGTGTTTGGTTTGGTCAATTTTTTTCTCCTTGGCATCACAAGTTTTAGAGGACAGGCCGAGTGCGGTGGCTCACGCCTATAATCCCAGCACTTTGGGAGGCCAAGGCAGGCGGATTATGAGCTCAGGAGTTCGAGACCAGCGGCCCATCACGTTGAAAATCCCCGTCTCTTACTAAAAATACAAAATAAGCGAGGGTGTGGTGGCAGCGCCTGTAATCCCAGGCTACACTTGGCAGGGGCTGAAGCAGTGAGAATGGCTCCTGAAACTGGAGAGGGGACCGTTTGCGGGTGAGCCGAGATCACACCACTGCACTCCCAGCCTGGGGAAAGAGGAAACTGCGGTCTCAAGGAAAAAAGAACAAAAAAAAAAAAGTTTTAAAGGACAAAGCTGCAGCAGGAGGACAATTCGCATTGTAAATTGGAGGGATTTATTTCTATTAACAAATGTTATTAAAATGGGCATCCAATGAGATAAACATTTGATGGAGATGATGATTTTGACAAAACGCCCCCAGGTCTGCTCCTGTCATCCAAGGTGGAGTGACACGGCCACCATCATGGCTCAACTTGCACCCTCAAACCTCCTTGGGCTAAAGAGTAATCCCTCCTCTCTCAGCTCCGTGAATAGCTGGGACCACAGGCTGCCCACCACACCTAGTTTTTTTTCTGTAGGAGACCGGTGAGTCTTTCCTAGTGCCTAGGCTGTACCAACTCGATGCCTCAAGGATCCTCCTGCCCTGGCTCCAAAAGTGCTGGGGATAACAGATGAGCCACCACGGGCGCCAGCCAACAGGTCATTCTTATTTTTAATTTCTTTTTTTATGCAGACAGGAGTCCTCGCCTCCTGTCGCCCAGGCTGAGTGCAGTGGCCGGATCTCCAACTTCACAGCAAGCCTCCGTCCTCCCGGGTTCACGCGCCCATTCTCGGACTGCCTCAGCCTCCCGAGGTAGCGGGGACTTACAGGGCGCCCGCCACCCGCCCGGCTAGTGTTTTTTGTATTTTAGTAGAGCGGGGTGGTTCACCCATGTTGAGCCAGGATGTCTCGTCCTCCTGACGCTCGGTGGATCCGCGCCGTTCTCGGGCCCTCCCCCAATAGTTCTGGGGATAACAGCCTGCACCACCGGCGCCCGGCCATCCAACATGCCATTCTTAGAGAAGAAATGCATATTTATGCATTCGTATATCCTCTTGGAAGCATGTACACACATTTATATATGTGTCTTTCTTCCATTTCCAGCACCTACTCTATGAGATGGACTTGAGGGTTAAATGCCATATGGTAAGTGAAGCTGGAGAAATTTGGGTTATCTTATTAATTCTCTGGACAGTGGTGAACACAGCATGAGGGAATGCCTGTGGCTACCTGGACCCTTCCTCCAGACCCCCTATTTTGGCTGTGGGCACCCACCCTTGTCTGTAGTCACTGCACCCAGGCTGTCCTGGAAAGAGAATAGGCCACCCCTTCCGTCCTCTCCCTCCACGTGGTTTACCAGAGCTGGTTCCGCCCTGCTCCAGGAGTGGACATGTGACTTGGGACTGGCCAATCAGAACCTCCACCCCTGCCCAGCCCCTGTGATTGGTTCAGGTGAGCCAATCAGATTCAGGGAAACAATAGAAGGGTGGGGCAGGGAGGGCAGCCTCAGCCCTGCAGTGGCCTTTATCCCCCACGCTGGAGGGCTAGAAACCGAACAGGTCCGTGGAGCCCAGATAGCGGGCCAGGCCTGGGGCCCTGCGCTCCCGGATCCAACCAGCCACGCCCCAAGGTGTCCAGCTTCAGCTTCTGGTGTTCGTTGCTGCTGTTTGTTTTTAGTTAGCCAAGCCAATAAAGTTTTCTTTCTCCTTTTTAAACCTCCAGTCCATTTAAGTCTCATGCAACCTGAAATGTGCCACCGCTGCAATCATCACGTCCCACATCCTGCCATCCAGGAGATTTCCCAGAGCCCCACTCAGCACGTCTCTGTCCCATCGGTGTGCATGGGGCACAGGCCGGAATGGTTGGTCTGAGGCAGGGTCACTCTGTTTCCTCAAAGCCCCGCCCTCTGCGCCCCAGTCACAACAGCTGGCACACGGAGGAGGTGTGCGAATCTGGGAAGATGGGTGAAGAACGTCATAGGAGGCGACCACAAGGTTCTCCACATAGGCTTGCCATATTTAGCAAATTAAAATACAGGATGCATTTAACATGCAAAGTTCAGTTGCATTTATTTCAAATAAACAGATGTATATATGCATCCTATATATATAGATTGGATAAGTACTGGGACTTTTTTTTTTTAATTATTTTTTTGAGACAGAGACTTGCTCTGTAGCTCAGGTTGGAGTACAGATCTTGGCTCATTGCAACCTCCCCCTCCCGGGTTTAAGCAATTCTCCTGCCTCAGCCTCCCGAGTAGCTGGGATTACAGGCCTGGGCCATCACACGTGGCTAATTTCTGTATTTTTAGTAGAGACAGGATTTCGCTGTGTTGGCCAGGCTAGTCTCGAACTCCTGACCTCATGTGAGCTGCCAGCCTCGAACTCCCAAAGTGCTGGGATTACAGGAGTGAACCACTGTGCCCAGCCAGTATTGGGACATTTTTAGACTAAAAAATTACTCATCTTTGATCTGGAGTTCACATTTGACTGGGCGTCCTGGCGTCTGCCTGGCATCAATACTTGTCAGACTTTCCCACGGCTAAGAATCCCTTGATCATTGGGTTAAAATGCAGATTCTGACTCTGTAGGTTTGAAGTAGGGCCCTGGGATTCTGCATTTCTCACGGGTCCGTGGATGCTGTCAGTGCTGCCTGCCGGGGCCCAACTATGTCTGGGAGCAGAGATGAAGATCGAGCACAGTCATCTAAGCAAAGCACCCAGCAGTGTGTCCGGTACACGATGAAAACTCAAGAAGTGTTTGTTCGTTATCATGGCAAGGAGGATCATTTGAAAAGTGAGATCGTGTGTGTTTCTCTGTGTATCGGGGACTTAGAAGCAACTGGAACAGCTGCAAACTCTTCCTCTCCAATCTGCCAGCTGCAGCTGTTCCTGTCACTCGGCCTAGGGCCACACCCTCAGGAGGAAACCATGAGGAAAAATAAAGCGCTCCCCAGCAGGAGCTGCTGCCTATGCCCCTGCACCAGGGACCTCTGACCTTCCATATCACTACAGAGACGTGTGGCTATTCCTGTCTCCCACCACTCATTCAACATAGATGGAGGCCTGTGATGCCCAGGGTGCTGGGGGGGGAGACTCGGGGCTTTTTTGGTTACAAGTGGCAGGAACCCAAAACGGGACTTTCCTGGAAGAAGTATAGACTCACTCACTCAAAGGAAGGAAGAGTGGAACGTCCAGCCCTCAGGAAGGTTAGGCAGAGTGAAAGCACCTGAGCCTAGGGCCCGGGTACTGAACTCAGCTGGGACATTGTCTCCCTCCAACTCTCACCTCTCTGCGAGGCTTCATTTTCTCCTCCTGCAGACTGGCTTCCCCCACACGGTGGGAAACAAGAGTGCCTTGAGCGTTCCAGCCTCTCACATCCCCGCATCTATGCCAGAGAGGCAGACTCTCCAAAGACAAGGATCCAGAGAAAGCCAGTGATGGGTCAACTTGGGTGAGATGATGCTGTTAGAGCCATTTGTGATTCTCTCCGTGCTTGCCGCTCCCCCACCCCCAATTTTATTCAGTCTTGAGGCTTTAAATTCCATCTAGATGCTGATACATCCCTGAAAGGGGGCTTTACCATTTTTACTGCCTAGCATCTGAAAACTCTGTATTAGGGAAGGGTGAAGCTGCTGTAATAAACCCACACGTTGTAATGGCACATCACATTAGAAGTGTGCTTCTTTTTTCTCGAAACACATTTTAAATTGTAGCTACCTATAACATAAAATCAAACATCTTAACTATTTTTGTGTGTGTGTTGGGGGGACGGAGTTTTACTCTTATTGCCCAGGCTGGAGTGCAGTGACCTGATCTCGGCTCACTGCAACCTCCGCCTTCTGGGTGCAAGCGATTCTCCTGCCTCAGCCTCCCGAGTAGCTGGGATTACAGGCGTGCGCCACCACGCCCGGCTACCTTTTCTATTTTCAGTAGAACAGGGTTTCACCATGTTGGCCAGACTGGTCTCGACCTCCTGACCTCAGCCAGGAGGCTAATTTTTGTATTTTTAGTAGAAACAGGGTTTTACCATGTTGGCCAGACTGGTCTTGACCTCCTGACTTCAGCCAGGGGGACTCGGCCTCCCAAACTGCAGGGATTACAGGCATGAGCCACCGCGCCTGGCTACGTCTTAACTATTTTTAACTGTGCAGTTCAGTAGTGTTAAACCTATTGACATCTTGTGCACCCATCACCCCCATCCATTTCCAGAACTCTTTTCATCTTGCAAAACCGAAACTCTGTCTCCAATAAACACTAACATCCCATTACCCTCCCCCTGGCCCCTGGCAACCCCCATTCTACTTCCTGTCTCTAAGAATTTGACTTCTCTAGGTCCCTCATATAAGTGGAATCATAAAGTATGTGTTCTTGTGTGACTGGCTTGTTTCTCTTAGCATAATGTCCTCAAGGTTCATCCATGTTGTAGCGTGTGTCAGAATTTTCTTTCTTTTTAAGGCTACAAAATATTCCATTGTATTTATTTATTTTTATTTTTATTTTTTGAGATGGAGTCTATCTCTGTTGCCCAGGCTGGAGTGCAGTGGCACGATCTCGGCTCAATGCAGCCTGCGCCTCCAGGTTCAAGTGATTCTCCTGCCTCAGCCTCCCCGAGTAGCTAGGATTATAGGCGCCCACCACCATGCCTGGCTAATTTTTGTATTTTTAGCAGAGACAGGATTTCACCGTGTTGGCCAGGCTGGTCTTAAACTCTTGACCTCAGGTGATTCGACCGCCTTGCTCTCCCGAAGTGCTGGGCTTACGGGCCTGAGCCACCGCACCTGGTCTATTCCATTGCATTTATGTGCCACATTTTGTTTATCTGCCTGTCTGACAACGGATACTCAGTTGCTTCCGCCTCTCGGCTATTGTGAATGCTGCTGCTGTGAGCACTGGGTGTACAAGTTAGATGTGTATTTCTTGATCATGTAGCAATCTGGGATAGGTGTTAGGTGACAGGATATGGTTCCACAAGGTGGTCATTCAGGGACCCAGGTTTCTTGGGGGCTCCCCTCTTTCTTTAGGACCTTGAAAGAGCAGGAAGCAGGCATACATGTTTCTTTTTTTTTTTTTTGAGACAGAGTCTCACTCTTTCGCCCTGGCTGGAGTGCAGGAGTGCGATCTCGGCTCACTGCAACCTCTGCCTCCTGGGTTCAAGCAATTCTCTTGCCTCAGCCTCCGGAGTAGCTGGGATTACAGGCGCCCACCATGCCAGGCTAATTTCTGTACTTTTAGTAGAGATGGGGTTTCGCCATGTTGGCCAGGCTGGTCTCGAACTCCTGGCCTCAGCTGATCTGCCTGTCTCGGCCCCCAAAGTGCTGGGATTACAGGCGTGAGCCACCGCGCCCGGCCAACATACATGTTTCTTAAGAGCATTGGCCCGGAAGAGACCTGTATTGCTTCCATCCCATCCCATTGGTGAGAACCAATCACAAGGCCACACTTAGATGCCAAGAGGAGTGGAGAACAGAATCCAGGGATGGGAAGCAGCATCCCAGGAGTGACTTTGTACTGCAGAAGGGAAGAACAGATGTTGATTGCGCATTAGTCATGTCTGCTGCAACCCATCCCACGTTTGGGAAACATCCCGGTATTGGCTGGGTTGTCTTAAGGGAGAGACTCAGAATTACCAGTGGTTTCAGTGAGTTCGAAGGTGATTTCTCTCACGTAAAATCTCACCTGGCACGGAGCCTCTTTCACGAAGCCATCCAGTGTCTAGCTGGCTCCTTGGGTCTTGTTTCTCCTCCATCCTCAGTGTTGGCTTCCATCTGGTGTGCCAATGTAGCTGTTCCAGATCTCGCCGTTAAGTTGTTAATTTGGCCAGCGAAGAAGGGGAATGGGCTGGAGAGGGAGGAGGCTGTCCCTACCAACAACCGGGTCCCTGCAGGACACCCACTTAATGATCTGATTCAGAGGAGCACAAGCACGTGACTTTTCTTATAAACAGGTTTCCTCGTGTAGAGTTTGTACCCTTAATAATTTGTTTCTATTGCTATTATAATAGCACTTCCCTCTCTTCTTTTTTTTTTTTTTGAGATGGAGTCCCATTCTGTCACCCAGGCAGGAGTGTAGTGGCGTGATCTCAGCTCACTGCAACCTTTGCCTCCCAGGTTCAAGCCATTCCCCTGCCCCAGCCTCCTGAGTAGCTGGGTTTACAGGTGTCCGCCACCACACCCAGCTAATTTTTGTACTTTCAGTAGAGATGGGGTTTCACCATGGTGGCCAGGTTGGTCTTGAACTCCTGACCTTCTGACGTCCGCCTCTGCCTCCCAAAGCGTCGAGATTACAGGCATCAGCCACCACGCCTGGCCACACTGCCTTCTGTTCTAAGATACATTTAAAAATTTACCTTTGTGATATTTCTGAAAGAGGAACACAGACATCCTCCTATTGACACACACACTTAACACAGCACTGTTCCCCCCACCCCATGGAAAGGTGCTATTAAATCAATAATGCACTTCTTATGATTGATACTGACTGAGATTTGAGGGTATACAGTGGCCACAGCAATAGACTTATATATAACACTGCTAATAAGTAACAATAACCACCATCATTTTTGTGAGCTTACTATGATCCAGGTATTGAACTAAGCAGCTCTTACACATATTACCTCCCAGGTTATCTTATTTTTTCCCATTCCACAGATGATACATTGAGGCTGAGAAAGGTGTTATTCCACAAGTGAATTATAGCTTCCTATCTTTCTGACTCCCAGTAAGGATGATAATAAACAATTAAAAACGATAAGTCATCTGCCACTTAGGTGAGAGTCAGCCAAGTACAGAACAGGGGAGGGACCAGAAGGACCAGCCTGCAAGGACACTACGGTTTGGACAATTATTTTAAAATATGTGTTTTTTGCAAGAATACTAACAGAAACAGCTAACACCCAGTGCGTGCTTACTAGGGGCCTACCTAGCGCAGGGGAAGTAGCGTATTCTCAGGGCTATAACAGGAGGCAGTGTGTACACTCAAGGGTTAAATACACGAATTTGGAGCCAAATTCCACGGGTTCGGGCCCAGGTTCTGGCATTCCGGGTTTGTGACTTTTGGTAGGTGATTTGATCCCTCACCTGCAACATGGGGATAGGACCTATCATGAGGCTCTAGTTAGGACTAGGACCTAGAGCGTGTGAAGCACTTGGAGGCGCACAGTGTATTTTTATTACTCCAGAAAGGAGGAAACTGAGGCTATGGCACCTAAAGCGCGGCACTCTCTGTCCAGTAACTAAGGAACCCGGTGCCGCAGGGGGCGGAGCCCTTTGAGCATCAGGACTCGGGCCACTGGGAGAAGCCGCGGCAAAGAAGGGGTTACCATGATAGAGATGGCAGGAGGACCCGGGGTGGCACGAGCGTCCCTCTACGCCACTTCACTCTCTCCCCACGGCGGGCGCGGGGAGCCGGCCGCGCAGGCGCGAGGAGCCCGGGTTGGGGGCGGGGGGCGCCGCCCTAGACACCCGGAAGTCTCCGCCTAACGGGCCCAGCCCGCACCTCCTGTCCGGGAAGGGGGCGGGGCCGAAGCCCCTCGGCGCGGGGCGCCATAGAGCATGGACGGAGGACCTGCGTCCTAGACACTTCCGGAAGTGGCTCCCTCAGGCGCCCGCCCGGCACCATAGAGCTGGGGGCGGCGGCCGGGGTAGCGGGCTCGCCTTCCTAGAGCGGCGAGGACAGGGTGGCGGCCCGGGGGGAGGGAGAAGGGGGGAGCGGCGCGGGCGGAAGCGGCCGGGAAGGTCACTTCCGGCCTGGGCGCCCGTCCCCCTGACCCCAGGGTCTGAGTCGCCGCTGCCGCCGCTGCCACCATCCGCGAGGCAGGAGAGAGGAGGAGGAGTGCGGCGCGGCGGCCCCGGGACCAAGGAGGTGAGGGGCGGGGGCGGGTGCCGTGCGCTGGGGGCCAGGGGGGCGCGCGCTTCGGGAAGCTGGACTTGGGCTGGGGGTGGGTGGGGAGACGGGAGGGCTAGCGCGGCTGGGCGGCGGGCGCGCGTGCGCGCTGCTGGGGGGGCGTGAGTGGGCGCGCGGCCGGGGTGACGCGGGCGGGGGGAGTGCGCGTGCGCGCCGAAGGGCGGTGGGAGGGGACGCGCGCCCGGGCGGCCCGCGGGCAGCGAGCGGGGCTGGAGGGGGGCGCGCGTGCACGGGGCCGGGGCGCGCGAGTGCGCGTGGCGGGGGCGGGAGCCGGGGCCTCGGTGGGGGTCCCTCTCCTGCGGGCCCTCGGGGATGAGGCCGCTGTCCGGTCCCCCTCGAAGTTCCAACTCCGCCGGTCGTGGCCGGAAGTGGTGGCGACTCCAGGGGGAAGTTGAGGCCCAGGTGGGGGAAGGGGCCGCGCGGGCCGGGCTGGCCTGGCCGGATACTGCGGCCCCGAGGGCACGGTCTCAGCCCTCGGCCCCCCCCAGCCCTTCCTTCCCCTTTTCGAGTCAGTCTGGGTCCCGTTGCTGCCCCGGGCGGGCTGTGCGTGGCCTTTGATCAGGCGGGTAATTACGGGGATTGTGGCCGGCAGGAGGCCCATTCATTCGCCCTTGCGCGGCAGGCGGGGAGGAAGCGCGTCCCCAGGGGGGAAGTGACTGGGCCAAGGTCAGCCACCGCGTGGCTCACGGGGCAGGGCGAAGGCGGGGTCTGGACCCGGTGGCGATTCCTGAGGCCTCCCTCCCCCGTGCCGAGTGGATCAGAGTGGAGCCCCGCCCCCCGACTCCCCACCCCGACCTCCAGTCCAGGGAGCTGACCCCAATTCATGTGGATGAGTGCCCCTGGGACCTGCAGAGTCGGACAGAAAAGTGACCCACAGACAGAAGGCACGAGTGAGTTGAGGCAGAAGCTTTTTCAGTGCCAGGCCCTGCGCCGTGCGCTAGGCAGGGAGCAGGGAGATGAACAAGGGCCTGGAGTCTTGAGTGGAAGGCAGAGACTGAGACCCCGGCGACAGAGTCGCCACCCACGGTGATCAGACCCCTAATCCAGAGGTCTGGGGACTCTGGGAGCCAGGGAAGGCATCTTGACCTAGCCCAGTCCGGGGGATGGTCAGGGCTTTAGGGAAGGAATGACTTGGTCTGCTTTTTGCGGTTACCTGGTCCCAGGCCCCCATGTTGGGTAGTGCTTAGGAACCGTCTGGGGATCCGATTGGCCCCAGCGCCGGGAAGCACAGTTGCGTTGATCCTGGCTTAGCTCCTCTGTAAGACTGTAAGCCTCTTTGGCTAAACGCTGCTGACATTCACCTGCCTGCCTCTGCGCAGTCCCTGTGGTCCTCCGGCCACGGCCCCAGAGGACATCCAGATCAGATTCCTGCTTGCTTATCTCACGTCTTACCCATCCATCCAGGCTTCAGCAAAGCTGAGGGATGGGAAGGGCTCGTCACCCAGCCTGGCCCCTCACTGGTGCCCTGCCAGAGTGCATGCAGGAATTGGGTTGTATTCCCCAAGAGCTCTGGGACCAGGCAGGCCTGGGTTCAAGTCCCAGCCCCACCACTCACCTTTGTGGCCTTAGACGAGTAACTTCAGTGCCTTACTTTCCACCGGGACAGAGTGGAAGTGGTAATAATAGTATTGACCTCAGCGGGAAGGCTCTTAATGCTTGCGTTTTAGAGCCAGCGCAGACCTCAACAGATGGGTGTAAAGTAGATGGAAAGGGTTCTGGAGCCAGGCGTTCCTGGGCCCTGGCCTTGGCACTGTCTCTTCCACTTCTGTGACCTTGGACATGTCACTTCCCTTTTCCCAGGTTCAATTTCCCTTCAGTTGCCTAAAAAGGAGAGCAAGTTCATAATTCCCTGAGTAAACGTAATCCATCCAGGCGATGGCACAGGCCAGGCCCTGTGCTGGGCATGAGGTCACGCGTGGTCTTGGCACAGCACTGTCCTTTGAGGGCCCAGACGAGGTGCCTGGCCCAGCCTGGGTGAAGAGAGGGATCTCACATCCCCCCTGTGCAGGCGCGAGGTAGAGTGGTGCTCTGTGCTGGGCAGCCTGGCAGGAATCGTACAGTCCTGTGCCAGAGCAGCTGAGACCCATTCGAACTGGGGAGAGGGGTGGGGAGATTTGTCAGAGTGGTCCTGGGAGCTCTGACCTTGAGGGAGGAGTGTGTGGTGCAGGGGAGGTTGTGTGTCTTGAAAGATAAAGAGGAGGGATTGGCTATCAGAAGCCTGTTACTTAAGGGAGGATGACAGTGGGCTCTGGGCAGGGAATGGCAGGGGTCACAGCTCAAGGCCACCCACAACTGCCTGGCCGCCTGGGAGGTCTTTTGTTACTAGGTCTACACAGCTCTCAGGATACCCATCCTCAGACATGTCTCACAGGCCTTTCCGAACCTCGTTCATGCATCCTCTGGTGCATCCTGAGGCCCTCAGCCTAGTGAGGACTGTGCCGGGCGCTGGGGCCTCTGTGGTGTGAGAAACTGCAGATTCGACAACACTTGCTGGTGCACACTTTGCAGGAACCTGGCCTCGTGCCTGGTCCTCACAGTCCTAAATTCTCAAGGCTCTGGGATGGAGGTGGTCACCCCCATTTTTGGGGGATGGGATGGAGGCTCGGGTTGGAGGCTCCGGTTGGCACTTGGCCCAAGTCCCCCAGCAGCTTCAGAACCCAAATCTATGTGTGATTCCAGAGCCCAGACCCTTGACCGTCATGACCGCCCCCTTCCGCCCCCAGATTGGGGTCTGGGGGGACAAAGGCTGTTCCGAAGTCCTCCAGGTGTTAGTTGTTGGCTTGGAGACGCTGGACTCCCTGCCCAGTGGGGTGTACTGTCCATGAGGACTCCTACATGCAGGGCTGCTGGCTGGTTCAGGGGAACCCCAGCATAGTAGGAGAAGCAGAAGTGGCTCGGAAGTTGAGTGCTGAGATCCATGCAACCCCCAGGGAGGCCTCACTCACCCAGCATCAGGGAGAGCAAGGGAGGTGTGGAGTTCGAGCAGTCACACCACCAGTGTCAGTGGCCCTGTCCCAGGAGCCCAGAGCTGTCACCTTACAGCTGCAGAGAAACCAGCCGAAGCTCTGAGCCCAGGTGGGACGGCCCAGGGCCCGTGTGTTCCTGCAGGGGACCTGGCAACCTGGGGCTGTCCTTGGTGAAGTTTTCCTGGTTCTGTCTCTGCCTTGGCCTGAGCCTTCTCCCTTTGGGCTCATAGAGTATGGACATCTCTCTTGTGCTAAATGGGGGTCCCATCTGGCCCTCCTGTTTCGAGGCCTCCGTGGTGCCAGGCCTTGCAGTGGATAACGCTGGCATCAGAAGTTGTCCTGGCCTCAGCCCAGGGTCTGGCCGGTCAGAGCCATGGATTCCTGAGGCTGCTGTGCATGGGGTCCTTGCTGGAAACAGCCCCGCCCTCAAGTGCACAGTCTGCTGGATGCACTGTGGGGCTGACGGGGACCTGTGGTAGGTGTCGCAGAGGTGAGTAAGACACGGATCCCCTTGGGGGACACAGGACTATCCTCAGTGGTGGACGTTAAAGGGAACAAATGCCAGTGTCCAAGAGTTAGAAGGAAACAAGCTGCCTTTGGCAGCCTGCCGACTCAGGTGTGACTCCAGCTTCCTACACCGTGGCTGTGTGACGTTGCTCCCAGCCACTCCGCCTGTCGAAGCCTCGCTGTGGCTGTGTGACATTGTCCTAGCCACTCTGTTTGTCGAAGCCTCGCCGTGGCTGTGTGACATTGTCCTAGCCACTCCGTTTGTCGAAGCCTCGCCGTGGCTGTGTGACGTTGTCCTACCCACTCCGTTTGTCGAAGCCTCGCCGTGGCTGTGTGACATTGCTCCAGCCACTCGCCTTGTGGAAGCCTCAGTTTCCTTGTCTGTACAACAAGGACCCCAGTGATAGGCCACGTTTACTGGGCGCCCCGTGGCTTTTGGGTGAGCACTTTGCGCACACATCTCATTTTATCAGGAGGGACGGGTAGCCCAAGCACCTGGCCCAGGCCATGCGGTTCGTTCCTGGTGGGGCCAGATCACACCCGGGCCTGCCAAGGGTGGTTGTCCTCTTGCCCCTGCGCTGGCCTCATGGCCTCGAACTGTCTCTCCCTGATGGCGGGGCCCAGGATCAGAGCTTATGTGCTTAGGGCACCCTGCACCCAGGACCTGGGATTTAATCCGTGCTTGATGAGTGTGATCTTTTGTCATTGGATGAGAGAGGATGGAGCTGAGGGAAGGGAGCAGTCTGGGAAAGCTTCCTGGGGGAGATGCTGTCGATGCTGAGCCTTGGCAGATGGGCCAAGCAGATGTACACAGAGAGGGCAGGTGAGGTGGGAGGAAGGGGCTGTGCAAAGGCCCGGGGGGAGAATCCACACCATCTGGTGCAAAGGCCTGGTGGAGGGGAGGCGCAGAGGGAGGATCCGCACCGTCTGGTGCAAAGGCCCTGGGGGGAGAATCCACACGTTCTGGAAAATGGCCAGCCTGCCCTGTTGGCCCAACAGAGGAGTCACAGAATGTAAGGTGGTCCGCGGGTGTGGTTTTGTGTGTGTCTCTTTTTTTTTTTTTTCCATGTAAAGGCTTTGTTTTTAATGTTTTATATGTATCCTGCCTCAGCCTCCCGAGTAGCTGGGACTACAGGTGTACTGCACTATGCCCAGCTCATTTTTTTATATTTTGTAGAGATAGGGTCTTGCTGTGTTTGCCCAGGCTGGTCTCAAACTCCTGGGCTTAATTAGATCCTGCCTTCTCAGCCACTTAAGTAGTGACCAGGGGCTTTATTTATTTATTTATTTTTTTGAGACGGAGTCTTGCTCCATGGCCCAGGCTGGAGTGCAGTGGCGCGATCTCGGCTCACTCCAAGCTCCGCCTCCTGGGTTCTCGTCATTGTCCCGCCTCAGCCTCCCGAGTAGCTGGGACTACAGGCGCCCGCCACCTTAGTAGAGACGGGGTTTCACCGTGTTAGCCAGGATGGTCTCGATCTCCTGACGTCCTGATCCACCCTCCTCGGCCTCCCAAAGTGCAGGGATTACAGGCATGAGCCACCGTGCCCGGCCTGGGGCTTTATTTTTTTTTAGAGCAGTTTTAGGTTTGCAACAAATCTGAGAGGAAGGTGCAGAGATTTCCCGTATCCCCCCCGCACTCCCCCACAGCCTCCCCCATTATCAACTCCCACTCCAGAGCGGGCGTTTTGTGACAGTGGATGAAGCTACACGGACATCTGATTGTCACCCGGAGTCCATAGTGTACTTTGTAGGTGTGTGGGGCTTTTGGCCAGAAGACTGTTTTCGTTTGTCTTTTATACGATTCTCAGTTACTCGGCTGCCCTAAGACCCAGAAGCCTTTGCATAAGGATCTGAAGATGTGCAAGGCACCAAGTCCTGCTGGCTGTGCCCCGCGGTCCCCACAATACACCGCAGTCCCCACAACACACCGCGGTCCCCACAACACACCGCACCCTGACAGTAGACAAAGTCCCCACAACACACCGCGGTCCCCACAACACACCGCACCCTGACAGTAGACGCAGTCCCTCTCTCTCACCCCCTCGGAAAGTTGAGTGTGGTGACTGGAGCCGTGAGCTGTCTCTGCCGAGGCTGTGCTGGTGCCTCCAAGGAATCCGGCTCTGACAAGGAGGGTGTGGGTGGTGCGGGTGGGAGACCTGCGGGAAGCCTCTGGGAGGCTGCCGCACAAGTCCAGGTGTGAAGTAGCTGGAAAAGAAGAGAGCAGCGACCATCCTGGCTAACACGGTGAAACCCCGTCTCCAGGCAAAACATTAGCCGGGCGAGGTGGCGGGCGCCTGTAGTCCCAGTTACTCGGGAGGCTGAGGCAGGAGAATGCTGTGAACCCGGGAGGCGGAGCTTCCAGTGAGCTGAGATCGCGCCATTGCACTCCAGCCTGGGCGACAGAGCGAGACTCAGTC